CCTGTGGTCCCAGCTACTTGGGAGGCTGAGGCAAGAGACTCGCTTGAGCCCAGGAGTTGGAGGTTGCTGTGAGCTGTGATGCTACAGCACTCTACCCAGGGAAACAGCTTGAGGCTCTGTCTCAAAAAAAAGAACACTGCCCTAATCCAGCCTTCAGATCAACAATTTATTGTGTTTATATACAGTATATGAATTTGGTGTTACTTTATATTTTAACAATGGTGATTCTTCACTGGGTCAACAAGTATTTGAGTGCCTTATATATAGGGGAGTGTGTATGTTTTATACATCAGCCTACATTCTCAACAGGGTGAAAAAGACACTGTCTCTGCTTTCAAGAGGTTTACAATCTAAAGAAGACAGACAAGTAAATTAGCAATTACAACATAATGAGTACTATTCAGTATCTTGCTGTGACTACAAAATGAACTGTTGCCTCCCTCAAATTTCGGGAGGAGACCACTGCGGGGAGGGAAGTCACGCAGTGAAGGTAGTGTTTGACCTGAGTCTGTTAGTACAAACAAGAGTAATTAGACAAAAGCAAAGAGAACAGTACTTACAGGAGCAGGGAGGCACGACATGGTGTGACATTCTGAGGGAATGGCAGGTATGACTGAAAGGAAAAGCTTTTGTAAGAATATAAAGAAAAATTAGGCTGAAGATAAATTTAGCTCTCAGATCAAGAAAAATGACATCCTGTCTTTTTAGAGGTTTTCTTAAAGACTGAGAAGCCAATAGAATAACATCTCCCTGAGAACACTGTGGAAGACAGATTTAAAGCACTGAGGAAAGAAACAGGCCATGCAGGAGGCTGCCCCGTAATCACACTGTTAAAGGAGTCATAGTAACTCTGTGAATAAGGGGAGAATGGATTTATGAGATAGTTACTGGACAGAATTAATAGCACTTGATTAATGTTAGATACAAATAAAGTTATAGATGTGGCAAGGTAAAGGTCCAGATTTAGTGAGTTCACAGCAGAGTCTGAGGGGAAACTGAAGAGATAGTGGTAGATCTAAGAAGGAGTACTGTCACAGAAGCCAAAGATGGTTTAAGGAAAAAAGAAGGAGTGAGAGATTGACCGAAAGAACTCAAAAAGCCGCTTCTTTGTTGTTTATTAGGAGGTTATCGACCTACTGAGAGTCATTTCTTCAGAAGGCTTTGAGCAAAAGTGAGATTAATCTGAATTGAGGAGCATGTGTCAGCGTGCAGGATGAGTGTAGTCGGGCAGAGAGGAAGAGGCAGAGGGGCGTCTGGAAAAGAAGGGAGAATGGAGAGGGATTGTTGTGGGGAAAGACTTAAGTAATTTTTGAGGCCAAAGAGAAGAGTCCAGTAGATACTCATCCTTGATGGGACAGTGTCCTTAAGTAATAGTAGGAGTGTTTGAATTTTCCAGCAGACACGAGAGAAGGGACTAGTCTTAGATAGAAAGCAGCTCATCTTTTCCCCAGAGACAATAGGGAAGCAGACATAGGATTCTATTTCATGTTAGAGTATCAAGGTTAATCTGTGATATAATTGCATTTATTTTTTGGTCCAAATAATTTCAAGAATACAGAATTTTAATTCTAGCGACCATTCTTCCTTTATATATAAAAAATCATCTTAAATTCAATCTAGTTTTTCTATTTGATTTTATATCCTCTCACCAAAATTGGTTAGCTGAACATTGGTACTAGATGTAATGTGATCTTGGAGAACCGTGACCGTCTAACGCCTTCCGTCTGTTTTGGCAGTCCAAAGCCGCTTATGTACTCTTCTACCAGAGACAAGACACTTTCAGTGGAACTGGCTTTTTTTCTCTTGACCGGGAAACTAAAGGTGCTTCAGCTGCCACTGGCGTCCCATTAGAAAGTGATGAAGATAGCAATGACAATGACAATGATATGGAAAATGAGAACTGTATGCACACTAACTGATGAAAGTCTAGAAGCCATAAAAGAGACTTTCCTGCTGGTGGTGTCTATGGGCTGATGAAGTTACCCACCACATTAAAACACAAGTCTGAGATGGGGAGTTTCAGATAACCGAATGTCAATCCTTTATCAGATTTTAACTTGTGCAGTACTTGAAGTGAAACACAATGAAAACTTTAACAGAAATTGTCTCTTACTACATTTACAGTCTTGTATTTACAAGCTAAATATATATAGGAAATCACAAATAAATCCCTTTTAAGTTTGCTGCTGTTTTGATGAATTATGTTTTCTTTAATTTTTTGGATGTGAGTTAATTGATGACAAATGTTAAATTTGTGGATGTTGGTCACTTATTTTGCTCTGATATAACTGCAAGAGAACTATGGCTGAACTTAGTTTCTGGATAATCTAGTTCATGTGCATTATTGGGCTGCCATATAGATAGACTACTACGATCCTTAGCTGCAGTGTCAATGTGGCATAACAAATACTGCAGCAGTTTTCTTGGAAAACCACATTTTCAAATATATCCCTGGTAGTTAATGTGGGCCTATTAAAAAACCAAATCATGATACAAGAAACAATCCTGAAAAGGTTATTTCCTTTTGTAATATCATTAAAAATTCAGAAAGTTATATTCATTTTACTGCCACTGTGGAAACAGTTTTTAGATTTCACGCTCCATCTAAAGTCATTATTTAGTGTAAGTATTAATGCTGTTGGGATCTATTCTTTAGACATTCAAATGTGTTTCACTTGCTTTAAAATGCATATCTTTAATCTGGTGTTGGTCCAAAATTAAAATTTTTGCTGTCTGTTTTTCTCTACCCCATTTTTTGGTAATTTGGCAACCTTAGCTTTCCCAGTTATTGTAATATAAGGACAGACTTAATAGTATTCTGTATCCATAGTAATAATTACATCAAGCTTAGATGAGAGATTTTTTTCATATACCGGCCTTTAAATCATTAATGGACAATTGGCTATAAAGGTAGGTCTGTTAACTTTCTTTGTGTGTTCCTGATGGAATTCACCATAGCCTTACAGCTTTTCTCAGAAGGTAACTCGTTACAAGAGAAATGGCATTTGCATGTTCCAGAGTCAAAACCTGTACAGTATATAAAGCATACACACCTTGAATTTGATTTCAGTTCACCACATTCAAGGATCCAGGATGCCAAAAATATGCGTGAACATTTGAGACATTTTTATTTGCTGCTTTTTCCCTTTGATCTAGTTGAAAGAATGTATTGTCAATTGGCATACAATACTGCCTTTAATATAATAGAAAATTTAAATGCTGGGGCACATGTCACATACCGACTACCTGAGAAATTGCTTTGTGTCCCACTGTTATTAAAGCAAAAAGTATAATGTTCTTCACTTGAACTGATCAAATACAATAGATTATAAATTGTGTATTGTAAATAAAAGTTCACTCTGTGAGTGCACATTTTGGTAAATTATTTATTTATGTTAGCATTTAAAAGTAAAAAAAAAAAAAAAAATGCATTTGACCAGGATAAATGAGGTATGTTGATCATGGCTTTGCTTTATATCTTGACATTAAAGCTGGTTTTCATCCTGGTATTTTAAAAGCTGCTTTGGGTTTTTCTTTTTTCTTTTCTTTCTTTTCTTTTTCTTCTTTTTTTTTTTAATGTAAACTAACCTCCTGCATGACAGAGGTTAAGATTTTGTCTGCACTTGAGTTCACTTGAGTTTACATTTGAAATGTGCATGTTTATTTATACAGATTTCAATAAAGCTACTCAAGGCCTTACGTAGTCCTTTATTTCTTACTCTGAGTCTTCTGATAAAAATCCCGTATTTTATGGGTAGATGACTGTGCTGGACTTTTTAGTTGTAACAGTTGATCCTAGAAAGGAAAGCGCATCAAAGCAAAGTGAATCCTGCTGGGGAGGTCATGTTTTAAAGTTGATTTTCTTAAACTTTAATATACGTCCACTAAACAAATGTCTGTACACCAGGCCCTGTTCTAGAGTGCTGGAGATAGAGCAGTTAACAAGGATCCCTCCCCTCACAGAGCTGCGTCCTTCCTCCTCTCTGCCAACTAATGGACTGTGTTTCCATTTCTGAAGGTTTAAAGAAAGGTCAAAGCCGACTCTTCCCCAGCGTAGGTGAGAGTCTGCATCCTGACTCTCCATGGAGACTACTTCCTTGTTAATGTCTATAATTAACTTCTTTTTCCACTAAAAGAAATTAAGTCAATAATACCATTGAATCTTGTCAAACTCAAATGTCATTTTCAGCTGCAAAAATAAAAATGGTGCAAAAAAATAATACCTTTTCTAATTAAAAGGAGATATTCATAGGTAATACAGGGTAGTAGGAATATATTCAAACTAGAATTTGTACCTCTAGCTTTGCCACTTTAATTGTGTAGGGCTTTAAACTTGATCTTTCTTAGTCTATTTCTTCACCTGTAAAGTAATAATATTAGCAAGCATTTACTAAGGATTTACTATAGACCAGGCACTATGTTAAACTGTTTATATGCATGATCTCATTTAATCCCACAACAGCTGTGAAGTAGAGACAGGCATCATCCCCGTTTTTCATGTGGAAAAACCAGGATACAAAGCACTTAAGTAATACTCCCAAGTTCACACTGCTGCTCTGTGGTAGAGCCAGATTGTGTCCTCAGGTACGTACCTACCTCTCTGTGCCATAGCATCTAAAAACTCAAATGGGAAACTGTCTTATGGGAATGGGCTTTGTAAACTATGTGGTAGATTCATGACTGATTTCTTCAGTCTAAGTAGCCATAAAGTCCAATGACTGTTTCCAGAAGTACCTTTAGCTTAATACATTGAGTTTTGAATAAGATAACCAGCTTAAACATTGACTTTTTCCTTTTAAAAATAACTTCATTCAATTTATATACATTTATTACTATTTTATTAAACTGTAAATAAAAAAGTGGCTTGTTTTCTTGTTCATCTAACTCAAGTGTACCCTTTTTTCCATTTCCCCAAATGTAAACCTGAATTTTATCCCCTGTTTTGTTACCAGGTTTTTCTAGTCAGAAATCATGTCTGATAGCATTCTAAGGTCAGGAGCACTGAATTTTAGGACTTTTTTCCATCAGTAAATTAGTTGTAATTAATCTCCATGTAAAAGTTGCACCCTGATACTTGATTTAAATATTCTGCTTTCTCTCATAATCTTGTGTTCTTTTAGTAGTCCGATACTTATCCTTGCTCTCCTGAAACTGAATATAAAACCACACAAAACACTGGGCACGAAGAAAATCAGCGAGTACCAAAATAGAGCGTGGGGGCAGAGCTTTCATGAACTAATTTCACTGAGGTGAGGACATCTTTACAAAACATAAAGGTCTCCTTCCAAGGTGCACCAAAGGGGCAGGGTAGAAGTAGGAGCCCTCCACCCTAGAAAGGAGGAATCTGTGGTTACTGACAGCGTTTACCGGTGCAGGTGACAGGAAAAAGCCCACCAGTGTTCAGCCTTATTTTAAGTTCTCTACAGAGAGTGCATTTCATCACTGCCTGCTTCCAACTTCCTGCTGAGGGTGCACCTGCTCTCCTGGGCCTGTGCACTGCAGATGAGCACATTCTGGCTGGGTTACCCCTTAAGATTGAAATGGGGAGAGTTCTTATCTACTAGGGGAAAGGAGCCATAGTTCCTCTCAATCTCAGAGGAGTAAGAAGGAAAGGAAAATAGGTCTCATTTCTGGAGCCAGAGATTTTAAGAGTGGGAAACCTTTGTGTTTTTTATTTTATAACAAAATTTTGTTCTTTGAATAACAACCTAAGAAATTTTGAAACAGCTTCTCTTGTTCCCAAATGATTCTTTTAAGTTCTACTTGACCGTACATGAGAATTCTTTTAAGTGCTACTTCATCAGTGGGGAAAGAAGAAGGTGAGTGCATTTATGTCCTGGCTGAGCTTCCTCACGTTTTCAGTTGCAACTCTGTGTTAACCCCTGTTCTGTTACCAGGTTTTTCTAGTGAGAAATCATATCTGATAGCATTCTAAGGTCAGGAGCACTTCAAGTCAGTGTGTGTGCATGCGTTTGATTCATATTTACTACATATTCAGCAAAATAGTTTCCTAATAGGTCAGGTAGCAAAAATCATTTAAAGATGAGTTAAGTATATTCAAATTTTTATGAGCCATATTGAATAGATTTTAAAATATCAGATTGGGAAGATCAAAAGTAAATGGTAAAAATTCAAATACTGAGCAAGCCTCATTTTCACTATTGATGGGGTAAAGAATTTTTAAATTGACAATGTAAAACAGACAGTTCAAAAATTATTTTTGGCAAATATATGCATCAAGAAACATGCTCACCCTACTTGGTACCGTGGTCTAAGTACTCCCCATCTCTGCTGTGGAGAGCCCGTAACTTGCCAGGGTGGTGAAAAGGCCTTAGGCAGTTAAAGGAGTCCAGAATGTGGATAAACTATTCAAGGAAGACTGAGAGTTGACTTAATATTTTGCACTAGAGTCTCAAAGGATGGGGGGGAAAGTTTGTCCAATGGGTGTTGGTGGGTTTTTCCTAGAAACAACGTAGCACATGTTATTCTACAAAGCAGCTAAAGTACAGACTCTTTGGAAATTGTTGTTTTTAATGAAAATGCTGTAAAATAGTACAGACTTTCAGTTGCACAAAATCAAATATTTTAAATGTTTAATTTGTTTTGGTAATTGACTATGTTCTGCTGTAGAAAATTATAGTTAAAATTGGTGCTCATTTCACTAAATTTTTTTCCCTCATGTCAGGAACTTGTAGCTTGTTCTTTATATTACAGTTTGATGAAAGAAAAAATTAGTTTCATTTGGTGTGACCTTCAAATTTGTTGCTAGCTGGAGTTAAATCTACATACACAAAAGTAAATAATAAATAAAACATCCCGACAATCTTTCCCAGATGTGTATTCTTCCATCCTCAGTCATCACAAATTCTCGACATCCCCAAGCTCTTGCTTTAAACCTTAAATACCACTGAGTTTTTCATTCCTGTCTAAAATCTGTTAGAATTCTTACGAAGTTGTAACATCTCAAATACAGGTCTGTTATTAAAATGTTTTCTTAACAGTATCTGCTCTTCTTTTAAACTCTACAAGGAATGTGCTACCTTAACAGCTCTTACTGCTCTTTTGTTCACCGATTTGTAGGCATGCCAGGTTTTAAATAATTCAGCCTGAAGTATTAAAATGTTCTTGTCTACCTACCCTTATATGTGTGCCTACTCTGTTCTGACCATGAGTCATTTCTGTAAGGGAAGCATTGA